ATGTTTTTGAAATACTCTACAATGGACATGGACTTTCTCTGAGCGTCAGAAAATGATGGCTGGGTTATCTGACTCTTGGTGAAGCACCTGCAACCCATCAGCACACGGCCCTGTAGGAAGTGCCGGGAGAAAACTTACCTGGCAACGGACAGCCCAGCACCTCCATCCTCATGCAGATGCTGCCGTTATCAAACCAGGACTGCGGGTTTATGCGCACGTAGCGGGCCACCATGGGGACAGGCAGCTCATTCAGCACAGGGATTTCCTTTTCACTGTTCCCTTCAAATATCTATTGATGCTCAAGAGAAAGGAGACATGTTTTCAGAGTTCCGCTATGAAGAATAAGAGAGTTTGTGATTCATGTAATTCACTTATCCATCAGGACCCTATAGAGGATTACCTAACGACAGCCCAGCACCTCCATCCTCATGCAGATGCTGCCGTTATCAAACCAGGACTGCGGGTTTATGCGAACGTAGCGGGCCACCATGGGGACAGGCAGCTCATTCAGCACAGGGATTTCCTTTTCACTGTTCCCTTCAAATATCTATTGATGCTCAAGAGAAAGGAGACATGTTTTCAGAGTTCCACTATGAAGAATAAGAGAGTTTGTGATTCACGTAATTCACTTATCCATCAGGACCCTATAGAGGATTACCTAATACATACTGAGCATCAAGGACGAAAGGAACAAATCAGCCCTGGACCCTGTCCCAGGAAGTCCCCATTTCTCAGTCCATCATGAAAGTAAAGGGATGCTCCAGAGCATGGGTTTTAGAAGAAGGAGGACCAAGCCAACTTTGGGGCAAGGGGAGGTACCGTTTGACCTGACACTCAAGGAAAGCTACTTGGATGGGTAGGAATGGAGGAGACTCTAGAGGAAAGGAAACAGTGATAGTCAGAGAAGCCTAGCAGTGGGATTCATAGTGGGAGACCAGTTGGCTCCATCCTCCTGGAACACAGAATTGTTGGTGTGGGTAAGAATGAGACAGAAGGAGCTGAAGTCAGTGTATGAGACACTGGATACAACACCAGAAATGTGCACTTGAGACTCTGGGTTCAAGAGTGACAGGACTCCTATTCTGAAACTAATCACACGAGATCATTAGAAACTCAGGAGTGATGGCTGCATTTGTGTGGATGTGTGAACTGGGTCAGGGGTTGCATCTCAGAAGCCCTTTGATTGGAGTGAATACAGAATCCTGCATCAGCCCCAGACATGGGCCTCTTGTGACTGAGCTTCATAGCATGTAAAGGAGGCCACTGTCCATCACACTCCCATGGTTGAGTTAACACAGACTTGGCAAACTTCCTAGGGACAGGATAGAGCACAATGGCCAGGCACCAAAGGCATGGGTAGGGGGCACTCACCATGTCACTAGATCCATTCTTCACAGTGACCCATGTGTGGCTGTCATTGCTCACCATGACTTTATAGGATGTTACCCAGTCACTCCTGTGAAGAAATAAAACTAAGGTTATAGACTTTAAAATGCTTATCTCTTCCACAAGGAGGCACGGAAGGAGAGCAGGTGTGCTATCTCCAGTGCTGGGCCAGACCCTGATTTCTAGGGAGCCCCAAAGGTCTCCGAAGCAACATAAGCTATTCATATTGCCCTTGGTTGCCCACTGTAAGTACACAATAAGACCCTGTTGATGAAGACACCACACATATTGATTAATCAGTCTTGAACTGACTGGAAAACTTCCTCCCTGCTGGCTTTCATAGTACTGGAAAGTGCTATGCAGGCCACAGGGGGAGAAAAGACATCCGTGGTCTTAAGAGACCAGCACTGAACCCTGTATGCTAAAATACTGACATGCCAAACAAGATGTAGTCACTAGCATAACAGTGGCATGGTTGCCTAGAGAGAGACCCAGGTTTGCTTTGCTCAGCAGGAAACCTTGCTTCAGTGACAGAGAGACCGTCGGCGACAGAGTAACAACTCTGGGACTTGCAATTTCCTTCACAACAAGCCATTTATTACAAAATTCAGAAGGTTTTTATACATTACAAGGAACTGGCAGTCATGTGGGATTTGGCAGTCACATACAAAGATTTAGGGCACAAAGAAACAGGACATATAGTCTTTTAGTTGGCACCAGCAGGATGCCTGAACTTTTACTCAAGGTTACCAATGCCTATCTGGTAATTTATTGGCCACAATGTTTTCTTTCTTGGGGCTGAAAGCATGGTAAACTTTTAGCTTTTATCTTAGGAGTAAATCTCTAACCTGGCCTAATCTCTTAGCTGATGATGGCAGAGTTATTTGTTCAGGACAGGGAGGTGGGCTAAGGGCTGTTGACCAAGATGCTCTCCCACAGAGCAAGGAGCCTGAACTTTTGACCTGACTGCTTTTCTCCAGCTAGCCCTGTAGTTTTCTGCAAGACAGGGATTATCAGAGCTGCTGTTTTCAGCGGCCCCTCCCTTTAGCAGAGAACGTAGCCCCAACTTAAAAAGTTTTAGGCTCATCTCACCCTAGGGCATGCCATCCTGGTTTCCTACAGCTACCATGGGGATAACCAGCTGCCTTGTAATTGTATTTGAGGCCTGCTCCGCAGGAGGCAATTCATACTGAGAACTGTAAACCTGGTCAAAAGCCCCTGGCTGGGAAAGTCACAGGCCCTAGGGAGGAACTCACTATCGTTATTTTGCTAAACAGTCATGTTGTCAAGCTGGTTTCTAAATATTTGTTTATGCCCATAAATGTGCTGCTCTCAGCATTGGCCAGAGAAGCTCCTTTTGGTAGTGGGCAGTGGTTAATGGAGACACATAACTGACCAAAGTGCTAAGAACAAGTGGCTGTGGAGTGCTCAGCCCTGAATGGGACACTTTCTACCACATTTTTCCCTCCAAAGCTCAGGGATCTTTGTGGAGAGTCAGAGGTTGTAAATCACTACAAGGAAACAGTTTTTTCCAGACAGCAGGGCAGTTGTGCATATGAACTCATGGCATTTGTGTCAGCATGCACAAGACCTGCTCAAGCCCAAGCCAGACAAAATCCCAGCACGGAGGGGGAGGTGGGCACAAAGTCCTACCTCAACTAAGGAACTACAGGCATTTGATAGCTTCTGGGAAAGGAAGAGTCAGTTTTCTTTAAGGGTGTGACCCTTGGTAGACTGACCATGTTCCAGGGCATGTTCCACACTCAAGAGTATTTGGGCAACACAAATTGGACTTGATGGGGGAAAAAAGTACACGAAGGGGGGTGGGTAGGGAGGAGGGGGCGGACCTGGGAGGAGGGAGTTGAGGGAGAAGGAGAATATGATTGAAATACGTTGCATTTTTTTCTTTGGGGGTGTGTGGCCACTGGTAGGGTGCCCATGCGTCACTGGATGTCCCCACATCCATGAGCATATGGGCTGTACTGACTGGATGCAGGAGGGTATAAGAAAAAGGAAGAAAAGGTCATAAAGTTGGGAGAGGGGTAGGTTGGGGAACTCCTGGGAAAGCTGGGGTAGAAATAAAGGGTGAATACGATCAAAATAACATTGTATACATGTATGAACTCCTCAGAGAATAAATCAAAATATTACAAAACAAAACTACCCTAATTCCATGATTCTTACTGTCTCTGTGACCTTGTTCAGATAACTGGTCAATTTGTGCAACTTTTTCATGCATTAAATAGGACTGTGAGCGTGGAAGGGTGGAACAACTTTAACCAATTAAGACAATTCCTAGCCCCTGGTAAGCACTCAAAGTCCATCACTCACACAAATATATGCACATATTTGTTTGTATTATATCACACAGAGTAGAAGCTTAATGGAGTCCTGCAGGGGAAAAGTATCTCAAGGAAGACTTCAAATTAGTCTAGAAATTTCATTTCGGAAACTTGATTCGGGAAAGCAGAAAACCAGATCCAACTAGCCACAAAAGCAATAGCTTGAGTCTATGAGACTGTGGGTTCCCTGCTCCCATCTGTCACAGCCATGCTGACACTCCCCACCCTAGCAAGGATTCAGTGAGCTGGACCAAAGGCTGGACCCTCCCCAAACCAACTGTTCTTGTCTGCCACCAGACACAGCAACATGATAGCTTAGCAGAGTCTCTGGTTCACGAAAGGCACTGCTACCCACCCGGAAACCAAACTCCAGCAGTCATTCCTGACCTCCCTCCTCACCCCTGTATTCAACTTCTCATCAAGTTTTTTTCAGGTTACTGCCCATATCTTTCTAAAGTGTATCTCATTCTCTTCACTCCACTCCCCCAGCCCAGCCCATGTTCTCCAACCAGAACTACTGCAGTTGCCCCCAAATGGGGAATCTAAACTTCTCCATCTATCCAATGAAACATTACCACATCACCTCTTGTTTAACTGTTAAACACTGAGAATTCTTACAGTAGGAAAATTCTTATTTTACTGCTAAGAACAAAACCTTCACCATGGCCTTCACGCCCCTTGCATACATCTTGCTTTCAATCTGATACCCACCTGCCTCATGGCCTGTGTACTGACTGTTTATCTGTCTGCACTCCTGTCCACATCGAAATTATTCAGACCTCAAACTACTGAAAAACCAGTCATGACCCTCTAACGTGGGCAATTTCTTTTCTCAAGCAGCCTTTTTCCCCATAATTTAACTGAGTTTATAATTTAAAACTCCATCCTGGAATTGTCTGGCAGTATCTCCCCCCACACACCTCAAAAGAGTCTAAGCATCTCACAGATGGAGGAGAGAGGTGCTTGGATACCAGGACAGGAAGCTGATGCTCCTGAAACACAGAGGAGGACAAGAAGGGGGAGGGAGTCTGTAGACCTCTAGGGGTAGAACCCTCCCCCAAAGTATCTGGAGACCAACCGGAAAGTTTCCTGTTCCTCCAAAAGTTCTACAGTAATGGGATGTTTGCCAATCAGAGACTGTCTCTCAATATATGCCGTGTTTGTAAAACAAGCTCCAATCTATCACCTTTGAACCCTGGTTGGAATGAAAGTGAGCACAGAAAGGTTCATGTGTCCCCTGCTCGTTCTGTCTCAGACTCGGTTTTATTTCTTTTTGTTGTTTGTTCTTTGTAGAGTCCTGGGCACTGACCTTGTGCCCACAAGGTCAGTGCTCTACTTCTGAGCTACATCAGCAGCACCACACCCCTGTCTCAAAATTCATGTTATTGCTGACAACCATGGTTTCTTTCATTCCTGCTTTTTAGTATTCTCACTGAGAAAACACCAAAATTTATTTGTGCTTTTTATTGCTAATTAATTAACAGGATTTGAGTTGTTTCCAGCCTTGATTTGGTGCTGCTGGTACGTGTGTATGTTCTGGAAAATAATACAGGTTGGTGTGTAACTGGGAAAGTAACTTTTGGGCCATTGAATCATAGAATAGACATGTTCATCTGGAATCGGTTTCCACACTAACCGTCTATGTTCAGTCTTCTGTGAGGGTTCCCACTGTCCCATGATCCTTCAGTACTTGGTACCACATCTCTGCACCTCAGCCATTCTGATGGGTGTGTCCTACTAATTCAGTATGGTTCCTAGTTCAGTTTGCTTACCATCTCAATTTCATTTCTGTCGCTATGATAAACTATCCTGACAAAAAGCAATTTATGGGAGAAAGTGTATTTTAGCTCACAGTCCAGGTCTATAGCAGGAAGTCAAGGAAGGAACACACCACAGCCAAGTCAGGGGCATAGAGAAATGCATGCATGCTCGCCTGCTTGTCTGCTTTCGCTCAGCTCGCTGTCAGCATGCTCACACAGTTCAGGGCCCACGAAAGGAATGGTCCTACCCACACTGGACAGGGTCTCCCCACATCAACTAGTTCCAAAGAGTTCCCACAGAAATGCTCATAGGACAACCCAATGTAGACAGCCTCTCATTGAGACTCTCTTTCCTGGTGATTCTAGGTTGGTCAAGTTTATTAAAGCTAACCAGCACACTTGCTGGCTAAGCAAGTTAAAAAATTTGGATGTTGGGGCTGGAGAGATGGCTCAGCAGTTAAGAGCACTGGCTGCTCTTGCAGAGGACCTGGGTTCAATTCCCAAAACCTACATGGCAGCAGCTAACAACCATCTGTAACTCCAGTTCCGGGGGATCCAATGCCCTCTTCTGAACGCCATGGGCATTGGATGACATGGGTGCACTTACACACATGCAGGCAATACACTCATACACATAAAATAAAAACAATAAATAAAATGTTTTTTTTTAATTTTGGATGGTTATTGTGTGTTTAAATAACATCTATGAAGTACTTAACTTTTTAAACTGTTTTCTTTCCTATACTGCTTTCAAGAGTCCATATATTTCAGATATGAATTAAATATATTTTGCAAATTTTCTTTGTGTGGTATCTTTTGATGAAGACAAATTCTTAATCTTAATACAGTCCAGTTAACTTTTTAAAATTGTCTTCACTATTCATGGCCCTTTCAACAATTTTTTGCTTATTCCAAAGATCATAAGATCCTCATGGCTTTACCATTCAAGTTTAGCTCTACGATACATC